TTTGGAAACACTTATATATTAATTTAATAGTTCAAGATTATTCCTATGTTCTTGTAAGATTTAGTTAACAGCTCAAGGTCTGTCATTTCATCAATACGGTTTTAATGAATTTGTCCTGAATCAATTCCTTACTTGAAAAAGTAACCAGAAACCCTTCCTTGAGTATACTCTTATATTGCTAGGGCTCCATGAAATTAATTAAAGGTAAATGGTTTAGAGGCAACACAAAGAACACTGCTCATGTAAATTCTTGCTGTTCTGAAGAATAATAACCCCAATAAACCCATAGGTGACATAAATGGCCAAATTCACAGCAATATTTAAACAAGTATACTTACCTGGGATGATAATAAATAAAAATCCATCTGAGGCCAAAGCAAAACATTGAATCCTAGGGAAAGGTATTAGTCTCTCTGGGTTGCGTGTCCTAGCCTTGATAGTTTCTGATCTCTTGTTTCTAGAATGTAAACAGGAGAAGCACTTACTTTGTAGAGCTGCGGACGTTGTGTAGTAGTTGAAAGGCACAAGGGATACTATGTAATCCTCAGAGAGACTTGCCAGCATGTCACCTACGAAGACTGTTTTTCCCACTCCTGCATTTCCTACTAGCATTAGTGGTTTTCCTTTCTCAAGCAAAAGCTCAGTGAAATATCTAAGCCGAGTTGTCTCTGATGTGTGAACCAGAACTGTCTGGGGAAAAAACAGCAGAAAAGAAAGGTCTCAGAGAGAGAGAGAGAGGCATTCCAAAATTTTGTATCTGACCCAACGTAGTCACTTTAGAATTAAGAGCCAAAGAATTTTTAGTTTAGGTTGACACCCTGTAGAAGAGATTACACCTAATTTTCAGTTTTGAATTGTCACAGTTCATAAATCACAGCTGTAGGACAGCGGTTGGTTAATGCTGTTAAAGTGCCATAGCATAAGCAACCAATTTATATTTTCCAAATTAAGTACTAGCCCCCAAGTATCCCTATTCACAGAACACTTCTCTGCCCAATCTTGTGTTAGGCATAGAGGAGAATACAGTCATGTATAAGAAACTGTCCACCACTCTTCAGGAACTGACAAAATGTTTGAGAATTGGGAGCCACACAAATGGGAGCAATGCCTTGGCTTGGTTAGATTAAATTGCAAAATGATTAGGTATAATCTAGGCTAAAGGAGTTCAGTCAGCCCAGGGAGAGAGACCAATTTAGTGGGAAAGAGTGGCTTTGAAGTGGGACATTCACAAATCCAAAGCACATTTGAAGCTTATGCATTGCTTTATTAAAAGTTAAAGCTTAGGGCCGGCCCAGTGGCGCACTGCATAGTGCGCCGCTTAGGAAGCGCGGCGGCGCTCCCGTCTGAGGGTTCAGATCCCACATACAGACCGGCTCCCGCTCACTGGCTGAGTGAGGCGCCGGTGCAACACCGAGGCTTGCAATCCCGTTGCCGGTCCCCGGTCCGGTACGGGGGCAGCACTGAGGGTTGCGATCCGTTGCCGGACACGGAAAAAAGACAAAAGACAAAAAAAAAAAAAAAAAAAAAGTTAAAGCTTAATTTTCATGTTCTGAAAATTGGCTATTTACTTATTTATATACCATATTGTTTTACAAAGAATCTGAATTGGCATATAAAAATACAATAAAATGAAGAACACAGATAAATAAAAATCAAACTCAGGGAACACAGATAAAAATATAAGATCAGCACAAGGGGTCACAGATGTAGATGTACAGGAAATAGAATCCTGCACAATGATTAAAAGATAGTTGATAATTTGGATGCATTTCTTAATGGACACACATCCCTTGGAAGGAACCAATCCCCCAACAACTTGAATTTAGACCTCTAGCTTCCAGAACTGAGCGTCAATATATTTCTGTTATTTAAGTGACCAAGTTTGTTGTACTTTGTTATAGCAACTCCAGGAGACTGATGCATTGGGTTTTCTGTTATTTGACACTAGCTACCTCCTAACTAATGCAGTAGAAATCACCTGTATTCCATTGATAGCACGCTACTTGAAATAATAAGATTCAAATGAATCAGAATGATGTGATTTTAAGAAAGAAATATAACAAAAAGGAAAACAAATTGAGGCAGCATAAGGTGATCAAAGAATAACTTGACTTAAGAGAAATGCAGAAGGGCAACGCAGAAAGAGAGACAATGAAGAAAAAGAGAAAGATTCATTTCGATTTGTCAGCTGCCATGTGCACTGGAAACACGAATCGAAGAGATTAAACATACTCATCTTATGGCTGGAAGGTAAAAGAAGGAAGCTAAAAGTGAAAAGTGCCGCTGAAGAATGTATAAACTCAGAAATAAGAATCACTGAACTAACAGAAAGATGCCTCCAGTTTTCACAAAACTCAAAGTTTCTAGGAAAATATAAAGAAAACTGTTAGCACAGAATTAAGTGAAATTAACTGAAATATAATAGCTATCTCACTAAGCATTCCTATAGCTGAGATTCTCTCTCAGAGAAATTTGTATGTTGACCATCGTCAAAATAATTTATGTATCAAGAAGAAAGACTGATAAAAAAAATAAAAAGTCTCCACTCAGCACATTGTTTCTTAAATATTGTTATGTTCCATACCTACCTGCAAAGGTACATCTGGATCCATAGTAAACTGGGGAATTTTGTCAGCCCAAGGTGAGAATTTCTTAGTTTTGTGGTCCAGATAGTAATCAAAGATTGTTCCTTGGGATGGAAACTTCACCGCTTTCATCTCTTTATGCCACCACCGACTGAAGTTGGCCTGATAATCAGAAAGCTAAGGAGCACAAGAGTAATCTTTATTGCAAACTCGAAGGTAATTTTGAAATATACAAAGCCCCTCCAAATCCTGCTCAAACACATTTGCAGTGTGCAGGATCATAATTACAAATGAAGCCCCTGGCATGGGACTGAGTAACTGACCCAAGATAAATAACTAGAAATAAGTTATAATGACAATCATAGAGGTAGAAAGCTATAATTGACATATACCTATCAGGTACCAATTTTGTGGAATAATTATTAACTTCAAAAGCAAGGCAAAGTTAGGTGAACCTCAGATTAACACCAAGCTATCATGCAAATTACCACGGGAGGTACCACAAGACAGTGGTTATCAAATATTGGTGCTGATTTCTACCAATGTTCTCATCAATCGATGGTAAAATGAGAAACATAAGAACAATGGAGTAGTTCTGAAAACTGGTAACACTATTTGATTTAAATACTGTCCTTCATTCTAAGCATATAACCTCCTTAGCCCCTTTATTGTTATAATTCCTTTCCTCTGTAAAATTATGGTGATGGCAAATAGTAATTTTTATAAGTGTTCTTACTTAGAAAAATAAATGGCTGGCAACCCTGTTTCATTTCCACAAATCAGTATTAAAACTTTGTTGATCTTTGAAATTCCAAATCTGGGAACCCCTCTGTGAGGGGTGGAGAAATGGAAAAAGGCATGGACTCGGTTTCCCAGCAGAGCACAACTGAGAGTTCCAGCTGAAAATCCTATGGAGACCAACTTCCTTTCTCCAGAGAGGACTGTGGTGGCAGGGAACAGCCTCTCTTCACTAGGAGGTGCTTGTTTTTCTATGATGATAGGTACAAGCCCTTTGCTGCTAGATTAGGGTTTAGAAAATAGAGGAAGGGAAATGGCAACTGTGTACCAACAACTAACAACCCTCTTCTATATCCACAGCAGGACCTGGCCCAGTGACGCCTATATCCACAGCAGGACATGGCCCAGTGACGCCTATATCCACAGGAAGACCTGGTCCAGTAAAAGCAGAGTTTGCTATGAGGGTAACAGAGGCGGCTTATTTTAATTGGACGTTCAGGGAACCCACCTTTGAGAACAGGCACAGACTAGGCAGAAGACCATTCCAGGAAGAATCTAGCATATGCAAAGATCTTGTGGTATGAAAGAACTGCTGTGGGCAAGAAACAGCTGGTGCAGCTGGGGTTAGGGGGCTGCTGGGGAGAGGCGGAGGAAGAAGTAGGAAGAGCTGGGCAGGGCCAGATCCAGAGGGTTTGTAAACAGAATTAAAATTTATCATTTTACCTTAAAGGCAATAGGAATCCATCAAAGTATTTTAAATTCTGGAATATACTGTATGATTCAATTTATATTTAAAAAATCACCCTGCTGAGTGGATAATGGGTTATGGGGGAAGTGTTTGAGCAGCAAGAACAGTGAAGAGGCCACTTTGTATGCCCAGTGAGAAATGGTGGCCGTTCATGGGAGCTACGAGACAGTTCATCTGAGACCCACTGTGGAGGTTGTTTGCAATGGCCTGGGTTGAGAACACAGGTCCTGAATCAGTCTGTTGCAGTTTGAACCTGGTTCAGGCACAGGTTAGCTTTGTGCCCTTAGGCAGGTTAACTTACCTCTCTAAGATTCAGTTTCTTATTTGTAAAAGAAGAAGAATAGTTGAACCTATCCATACAGGTTTTCATTGTTTTGAAGATTAAATGAGATGGCCTGTAGTAAGCTCTGAGTATATTCCCTCCATATGATGGGCACTCAATTTGTTGAACTAACAAATGGCTATACTAAGAATGCTTCTTATAGCTGCCTTATTCAAGTTTCCAGCTTCATAGGCTCTTTTGAATACTTCATAGAGACCTCTTGAAAATTTAAAGATGATTATGATGTTGACTATTAATTGGGGAAGGAGTGTATAGGACAGAAAGGTGACCAGTGATGCACAGCTTCTGGCTTAAAAAACTAGATAGTGGCTGCCATGTTCATAAACTGGTGATTAAAAAAGGACCTGCTGGTGAGGCATTACCATCGGGAATGGAAAGATCTCACCATCAGCATCCTACCTGATTTTAAAGTCCTGGAGAAGGAGGGACCCTGTGGAAAACATTGAAAGAAAAACCCTGGCAGGAGGAAGGGGCTTGTATTGTGTCTTCATGTGGCCTCCATGAGCAAGAAACCCACACGCATTGTAAACTGTGCCTTTGGGAAAACTACAGGAGGTCACCCAACACCAATACTTGACTCTCACTGTAAGGAAGATGGGCTGCTATCCTTTAGAAAGCACTTGGAGGTTACAGAAGGAAACTTGGCTTCTGAGAAGGGCTGGAATAAGATCTAAGAGACCAAGTGAATGCGATTTATTTATAGATATGAGTTGTGGTAACCTAGTGACAAGAAGCAGAACTGACCTACATGTTATATCAACCACTCATTTTAGGATCTACAGCGAGTAAGTTGACGGAAATATGGGTCACTCTCGGCTGTGAAGCCTTGCAATGTAAATTCCCTGTTTATGCCTGGAAAGATTCAGGATGTCTAGAAGACACGTGTCATTGGTTTTTAATGTAACAATGCAGGGGTAGCTGTAGCAGCACTATGACCACGAGAGGTCCCGAGGTACCATTGAAGGCGTGGCCTTTGGAGAAAGACAAGCAGGTGGGAATCCCAATGCCATTCCTGCCAGTGTGACTTTGGACAAGTTGCTTCTTCCCTATGGGCTTTACTTTATCTGCACAATGAGGATACCTTGAAGAATTATTGTAAAGATTATTTGAGAAAAATCTGCCCACAGTGGTGCATAGCAGAGATTCAATCTGCAAATTTCCAAGTCTGAAACACTCCCACTTTGTACCTGGTAAGTCTAAGCAGTTTGCGTGTATGGGGCAGGGGGTGGGGTGGAGTGGGAGGGTACATATGCAAGTTCCTGCCTTGTGTTTTCCCACAGCGAATCAGAAGCTACAAAAAACTGTGTAAGACACGCTGCGTAGGCATGACAGCTTCACCTTAAGCTGGAGGAAAGACCAATGAAGAGGAATTGGCTCAGGCTGATTATAGCTCACCAATGGCCACCCTGGAATTGTGTGTGAGACTGATGAGAGGTAAGAGAGACTAGAGACAGAGAGACTAATTTGAAGGTTACTATATGCTACAGACTTAATTGTGACCCCCTGCCCCCAAATTCATGTGTGGAAGCCCTAACCCCCAATGTGATGCTTTTGGAAATGGGACATTGGGGAGATAATTAGGTTTAATGAAGTCAGTATGGTAGGAGTCTCATGATGGGATTAGCCCTTATAAGAAGAAACACCAGAGAGATTGCTACCTTTCTCTCTCTACCACATGGGGATATAGTGAGAAGGTGGCTGCCTGCAGGCCAGGAAGAGAGCCCTTACCAGAACCCAACAATGCTGGCACCCTGATCTTGGACTTCCAGCCTCTAGAACTGTGAGAAATAGATTTTTGTTGTTTAAGCCACCGATGGAGAAGAGGGGACAGACTTGATAGCTGTTTTATAAAGTAAAATTAAAAGGGCTTGAGATCATGGGATGTAGACATTTGAAAGAATTATGTCTCCCAGGTTTTTAACTGGAGCTACTGGGAGGAATACATCCCTGGGAAATAAAAAGAATAAAGAGGAGGAACAAATTTGGGTGTGGGGCAGAGGATGAGGTCTACCTCACAGGCACATTGCATGTGACTTGCCAGTAGAAGAGCATGCTGCAGGCGATGCTCCAGAGGCAGTGGAAACAGAAGCTTGAGCTCAGAAGAGAGAGTTGGGTTGAAGGCCAGGAATGTGGCATTGTCAGCCAGGGTTAGAACCATCAGCCTGTATGGGACTGCCCAGAGAATGCCCGGGCTTTGGGGAGAATGGGGCAGGTAGTATAGATTTATGACAACAAAAAGATATGGATCACATGTCATAATCCTCCACCACTCTAGCCCACTCTGCAAAAAAAAAATTGGTTCTGTAAAACATTAAACATACCTGATCTTGTACCAGGGTGCCTCCAAATGCCCAGATACAAGCAAAGACAAAATAGACTTCATAAACTTCTTTTGGACTGTCAGAAGGTACATTTTCAGGAGTCAGCAAACACTCCAAAAGAGCACAAATAGTCTAAAGAAAAAGAAATGGCCATTGGTTTACAGCAACATTTTTAAATAGTGGTGGAAGTTCACAGGACTTTTTTAATAACTCCACTTTATCCTTAAGAGATTATATAATTTTTCTCAGTTCTGTGATTTGCTACATTGGGAGAGACAAAAATCACTGCCTCAGGCAAAACCTCTGTCACTTTTAACCGAACTCATATTGTAGGTAATAACAGATTATTTTAAAAACTAAAAATCTAAGTAATCCAATTAATAATCACTGTAAATACCAGAAATATATATAAGCAAAAAGAAAAATATATATCTATATTCACTTTTTTATAAACAGGAAATCATGCTACACATGATATTCTGTAACCCACTCTCACTCACAAACATACTGAAGACGTCTTTCCTTGTCAACGCGTGCTGCTGCATGATACCATTGGGAATGAACGTGTAAGATTGCACTGGACGGACAGGCATTTACTGAACTATCTCCCTCTTGCTGGACATCAGGTAACCGACTTTCCATTAGTGCTCTGGCAGTCCCTTTTCTTACCTGTTGTCATAAATTTAGCCTGTGGCATTTTTTAGACACCAGACTGAATTTAACTTTGGAAGAAACACTGTCCAGGAACTTGCTCTTCATACACTCCAGGTGAAACGTGCTCTGTTGGTTCCAAACATACCCCCGTTCAGGGCAACCACATCAATAATGAGGCAATGTGGCCACTGCAATGGCCTTTATCATATGAAATAATAACCAGCCATGACATGTTTAGGGGCTAGTTCTCTAAAGCACAAAATAGTTGTCATTGATTAGCATTGTCACAGACTGTAAAAACACAAGATAGTCCCCCAGTTTTTGGAGGCAGCATTTGGGTTTTATCACTATCACATACACAGCAATGTCAGCTATAACAAACCAAGTCAGTATTGTGTGTGTGCCTTTCCTTTCTAGACAGGAAAGATGGGGAAATGCTTTTCATTTCAATATGAGGGCACTTCAAAATGGTTGTAGAAAAATAGAATTGAAAGGCAATGCTAGTATTTCCTTGAACTTTTTGAAGTACTTTTGTAGTTGAGCACCTGTTATATTTTTAAATCTTCTCTCTTGATTTCTATTATTTCATATTGTGCCACATTTGCCAATTTGAAATAATCTTTTGACAGAATAAAACTCACTAATTTGTTATCAAGATAAATAGTATACAACTCTGAAGCTTTGCTATTTTGAATAGAAGCCATGTTGTTCTAAGAAACTGTTAAAATCAAAATAAAAAAGACTGAAGGGTTGCAATGTGATGTTATCTGTCGACGTGAACATGCTAATAAGTCATATAATTCTATTTTCACCCAAACACAGTACTTAAAGACATTTTGAGCTCTATTTCAGCAGCTAATCAAAGCATGCTTTAATGCATATTCTGAGAGAATTAATACACTTTACCAATGTAAAAAGTTTCATACATCGGCAAACAGAGTGCATTAATTTCTTAGGTAGCCATTTTAAGCTATTCTCTTTTATACCCATTTTTTTTCTCAAATTCCTGTACTTATAGGTAACCACAGAAAAGAGACTACTCTATAAAACAACAGCTCAAAAGGAGCTAGGGATTAAATTCCATTTCTGAATCCTACAAAAGGAGGAAATGAGAGCAAAAGTCATATTAATTCCTATTGACCTATTTTCACACTACTCTTGAATGGAAAAGTTCACACCACAGAGAATCACACAAATATACAAGTCAACTTGAGAAAGAACACGATCATGCTTTTTGCAAGTATTGCACCAGAGGCAGTCTAATTAGGCTAACTACATAATTAATTCATTATGAATAAATTCAGACCTGCTTTCAGAAATAAATTATACCTCAGATAATTACTGTTGAAGACTATCGTTTACTTAATTGGTGTGTGAATTACCCAAAAACCTGAACTTTCTCTTCTTATAATGGTTGTGACTATTTCTAATTTAGTCTCAAACAAATTTGGTTACGTAGTAACTTAATGGTAATAAAGTACTTAGAAACAAATTTTGCTCCTATAGGAAAAAAAAAATGTTTCTAATTGTAAACCTTTTGTGAAGTTTTATATTTGTAAGGTCTGGGGACAGTTTTTCTTCATGCCAAGATTAAGATCACAACCCACATTTCTGTGTGCTGTGAATTATTTTCATTTGCTTCCATGACAACATATTATATATACCCCTCACTCTTACTGGCAGTCTCACAATGAGGAAAAATTTATCCCTGGAATATTATGAATTCTTCATCCAGATTGACATGCTTTCGGGAATATTTTTGGGAGGCAGAGGCCTGTGGGGGGTGGCACCTACATGGTAGGATTCAGATGCTTTCTCTTTCTCACTGGCCAGCATCTTTAATTGCACAGATTTATTTTATTCAAAAAACATGCTGAGCACCTTCTCTGGGAAAGTTATTTAGGAGCTAGAAAAATAAATAAGGCTGTTGCAACTTTGTTCTTCTATTCCTGGTCAAATATACTTGGGAGGAACACAATAAACACATATTTGGCACCTGCTATGTACTAGGAACTATGTAAATCTCTCAAAATACAAAAATGAATAAAACATGGCTTTCACAATCTTGTGAAAGAAACAGCCCACAAACCCAAATGACAAAGAATGTGATAGTGTGTGACAGAGGTTTGCAAAAAGCACCAGGAATATGACGGCAGGCCCAGTAGGGTTGGAGCAATGTAACAATTCCAGAAATCCTTCCATGTTCTTGGGCAAGCAAAAACTTCCAGCACATGACTGCATCAGGACTAGAAGGTTAAATGGTGTAACCAAAGACAAACCTGCACCAGGCTACTCTCTGGAATTGAAGTGATGGTTTTAAAGCTTGTTCTCAGCTTCTCCAAGCATGCAGGAACGTATTTATCAAAAAGAATAGTTAAATTGGCCTTTTCTGATTGATGCCGCCTTCTGTCTATCCAACTGGCCACATACCTGAGAAGGAACACAGAAAAGCTTTTATTGAACACGAGGCTTGAAAAGCAGAGTTTCACTGAGTCGAAAGCTTCCCCTTCAACACAGCTTGGTGCACCACTACACGGACATGTTTCGTGAATTCATTCTATTTTTCAAACTGCAAATATTTTTAAATGGCCCTTTAAAAACTTATTTTAATGGCCATTTTTACCTTAATGAAAAGAATGTAAAAGCAATTCCTAACAGCACTTAAGAGGCAAACATAATAGGGTATATAAGTAGGCCATTACTGAGCATTTGTAAGGAGTACAGTATATCATTTCCTAAAGGACTGAAACTATTTTCATGATGTAGGCCTTATTTATGAAAATAGCTTGGGATTTTCCTTGATTAATCTTGACATCAATTGTTTAGTAATGAGAAATCAGTTACAAATAAAGAGGTGACAGTTCTATGGAGCTATTTCAAAGTCCCTCCTTTTCCACTGGACTCCAACCTAATATAAATAATGTGTTTTCAGTAAGTGGCTCTGATGTGGTATCTCATGCCTGGGTACATGTTAATCTGAAGCTTTTAAAATGTTATCAATTTGATGTATTGAACATCTCTAATGTCTTAATAAAATAATACTTATCAATAAGATAAATTGTGACTTAGTAGTAGTCACACATAGTAGTCTCTGGGGTAAAACTGTATGATATTAAATGAAAAATAATTGCTCAGAAAGTTCTCATTAAGTAGGAAGCATTGGTAATAAACATGTTTTGCAGCCAGCAGAGAAGCAGTGTGACCACAGACCAATTATGGCTATATCTCACTTTAAGCAAATCAGAGTTTGCATTTTGAATATCAGAAGAAATTAAGGAAAGATGCTTAACTTACAAGGGGCTCATCTGCTTTTCACGAGGCTTCAGAATAGGGTTTTATTAAATAGTCAACTACATTACATTATGGTTAGATTTACAAAATATCAACTGTCAAAACTTTCTCAGGTCCAAGAGGAGTGGTTTTCAGTGGAAGTCCAGTTGCATGACAGTAATGTGACAGATTGTCTCTGGATGGTAGTGGGCACCATGGAACAATGGAAAGCAGGTGTTAGTGACTGGAGACAAAGGCATGAAGGCCCTACCTACCCTCCCTCACCTACTGATTTTACTGCATATCAGCTGCCAGAAGTGCAATCTTTGTGCCCAGAGCTTATGGAGGAGAGGGAAGAGGATTGCTTAGGGAGATGGAACTCTAAAGCCAGACTGCCTGGATCTGTATCCTAGCTCCACCATTTTTAAACTGTCTGTAAATGGACATAATATGATCTTCCTGTGGTTGTTGTGAGGATTAAACCAGTATGCAGGTATAAAGTGCTTAGTTTAATATGTGATGTATAACAAATTCTCAGTAAGTGTTCCTCGTTAGCACAGAGTTGGTGATATTGGGAGACCTGGGTTCAGATGCTAGCTCTGCCTCTTTGTGTATCTCCTAGAGGCAGCATTGTCCTTTAGGGCACAAGAGTTGCTAGCTAGGGCTCTAATGGGTAGAACAAATTTCACAACTCAGCAAGGATTCCTAGGAGCATTAGCCTCAAAATAGCCCCAGAAGGAGCAACTGAGCTTTGCAATTAGGGAACTGGTAATAGCTACTTCATTGAGCCACACTGACAGCAACCAAAGTCTCAAAGAAAATATACCAGGCCCATTAGCAAATGATGCTATTGTACAAATGACCTCTCCCAAAGTGAGCTGCTCCAGGAGAAAGTGAGCTCAACCAAACCAAAAGACATGGTAAGAGCTGATTCTGCCCAGAAATAAAAGGCCAATAAATGACCTCCGACCTCTCCCGAAGTGAGCTGCTCCAGGAGAAAGTAAGCTCAATCAAACCAAAAGACATGGTAAGAGCTGATTCTGCCCAGAAATAAAAGGCCAATAAATGACCTCTAAGAGGGGTCAGTCATACATAGGGAGTAAAAATATCTGTATTGGAAAATACAGACAGTTTAAAATTTCATGTAGAATTATTGCTAAGCTTCCATAGTTTGGAATAAAAATAGACATTAAAGGACAGCAAATTTTAGAAGGAGAGACTATTATCTTCAGCAATGGCAAACACTGAAGATATAGATCTCCATTTGTTTGCAATTCTTTCCACTTCACTTCA